TGTAGTCCACCATCGAATTGTGATCACTCCTACATCTATACAAAAATGAAAATTCCGTACTATAAGCAAAAGTCCTTTAAACGACACATTTGGGATTTCTCCAATATCAATATAGCACAGCTTAATGAGGAACTTTCAAATCATAATTGGGAAAATTGTGAAAGAGAAAATAACCGGATTGACGATGTTTATAAAAACTGGTTTGACTATTTTTACTCAACAGTTAAAAAGCATATTCCAAATAGAATAGTTGTAATACGTCCTAACAATAAACCATGGATGACATGCGCTGTAAGAAGTGCAATTCGTAAAAGAAATAGAATTTTAAAGCAATTTTCTAAGAAAAAAACTCGTTTATTGTGGAAGAAATATAAAGATCAAAGGAATTACACGACAACGTACTCTGATTCAAGAAACAAAAATAAAATATTATGACAAACTAAATATCCAATTATCAGATTTTCGTTTGGGCCAAAAAAAATGGTGGAGTTATGTTAAGTCAGTTTTTAATAATAATTGCCGTGTATCAATTCCAGTTATACGGGAGGGATCTCAGATTGTTTGCGATGCACAAAAAAAAGCTGATTTATTTAATGAATATTTTGTAAGTGAAGCGAACGTTGATGACACATATCATGAACTACCAGTCCTAGATTATTATTCTAATCACACAGATAAAACGTTGTCTATAGTTCAAACAACAGAGGAAGAAGTGATTAATCTCCTCTATAAAGTTGATATTACAAAAGCTAGCGGTCATGATGGTATTGGCAATAGAATTATTAAATTATGTAGCCGTAGAATTGCCAAAACATTTACATGTTTAATTAACACAAGTCTCCGAATAGGAGAGTATCCAACTGAATGGAAAAAAGCAAATGTAACTCCTGTCTATAAAAAAGATGGTCATCAATATAAAAAGAACTATCGTCCCATATCACTTTTGCCGTCTATATCCAAAATACCAGAAAAAATTGTATTCACTAGACTATATGAATTTTTATTAGAAATTAAATTTCTTAATGATATTCAGTCCTGTTTTAGACCAGGAGACAGCACTATGAACCAACTTACGTATATAGTTCATAAGATCTATGAAGCTCTAGAAATGGGTAAAGAAGTCCGTATGGTGTTTTTAGATTTTAGCAAAGCGTTTGATAAAGTATGGCATAAAGGTTTATTGTATAAATTAAAATCTCTTGGAGTAAAAGACCCACTTTTAAGCTGGTTTTGTAGTTATTTGTCTGATAGAAAACAAAGAGTTGTCATTGATGGGCAATGCTCGAGCTGGCTTAGTGTTGAAGCTGGTGTTCCACAAGGTTCAGTGCTCGGGCCATTGCTTTTTCTAATATACATAAAATGATATTTCCAACAATATTGTATCTGACTGTTTTCTCTACGCTGATGATACATCTTTACTTGAAATTGTTGATAATTTATCATCTTTTGATTCTAGACTAAACGAGGATCTCAATAGCATTAACCAATGGTGTATCGAATGGTTGATGGGATTGAATCCCACTAAGTGCGAAAGCATTACATTTTCAACGAAACATAACCGACTTCCTCAGCCAATCTTATACTTAAATGGCACTGCATTACGCGAAGTTGATTCTCATTCACATTTAGGTTTAACATTTACGTCAAATTTCTCTTGGTCAAAACATATTCTAAGCATACATCAAAAAGCTAGTAAAAGAATGAACGCATTAAAAAGGGTTAAATATAAGCTTAAAAGGTCAACACTGATATGCTTATATAAAAGTCTGATTAGACCCTTAATGGAATATGCAGATGTAATATGGGATGGATGTAATATAGAGGAAGCAAATCTTTTAGAAGCAGTTCAGTACGAATCTGCTCGCATTGTTACTGGTGCAATAAGGGGAACAAATAGAAATCGTCAATTGGAAGAACTATGTTGGGAGGATTTGAAAACTAGGAGACATATTCATAAGCTATCCTTTTTTTATAAAATTGTTACCCACACTGCACCATCCTACCTTTGTGATCTTTTGCCTCCATATGTAAACCAAAGATCCAGTTACTTTCTAAGATCTAACGATAATTTAACTAATATACCTGTGAGAACTGAACGATTTAAAAAATCTTTCTTTCCATCGGCAATAACTGCCTGGAATGATCTTGATCCAGACATTACTTTTTATATTGTTCTCGATTTGCGGCCCAACGTGAACAATTGCTTTCACTTCCTGCGCGGCTGCTCCATCCTACGTGGATGAATTTATCAGAGAATCGGAAAATTGAAATACTTTTGCATGCATGGTTCGGAAAATCTTGGACATGAAGATAATGTAAAATTAATGCAAAATGTCCAATTATTTATTTTAAATACAAAACGGTTTCAGGCGGAGTAACTTTTTTTTTATTGAAACTTGTTTTGTAAAACATTGGTCTGTAAAACATTGGTGTGGTAAATTCTTCCATATAAATTTCTTATAATAATATGTTTAATGGAAAGCTTGAGAATGAATACCAGAAGTTCTTCCACACTATGATTATTCGATTTGTTTTGATGTAATCTTTTTTTCTATGTAATTCTCTTTGTCTTGATGTGAGTAACTAAAAGTTTGTAAATAATCCGACATAATCTCCCTTGATGAGCTATGCTCTTGGAGAAAATGTCTGTAATAAAATATGTTTAAATAAAAAAAAACCCGACACAGTGAAATTTGCTTTCTAAGTGTTTAAAAAGTGATCAATCTTATATATAACTATATAAAGTGCGCATGCTTATCACCTTATCATTGATGCTGAGTCAAAATGAAACCCAGCCAAAACACACTTTACAAGTCGAACCTGATTGGCTTCAGTTTGAAGTGATGACAGGGGGCGGAAAAACATAACAGAGAACGGAAAATCTCCGCGAAATCACTTTCTGTCTTTTACAGAGAAAGAATTATCAGCCCGGTTGTCCTCACAAAACGAGTTATGCAACGGGCACGTTTTATTCAATTTCTACCAAACTTTACCACAATGTACAACAACATCAGAGGAGCAAAACCATGTTCGCGTTTTTCTGTTAATGCTTTAGTTTTCAAATTATAGGCTTCTGTTCTATCGTTATTGCAAATTTTTGATGAGTCAACTTATCTGCTTTATATCTCGGCAAATATAATATACCTGTCAAAAAACGCGAACACGGTTTTGTTCTTTGATCATTTAACATGGGAAATGTGATATTTCGGAAGCTTCTGAGTTTAATCGGATGGTTCTAAAGCTCGTCGCGCGAAGTGTGTCATATTTTCAAAAGCAGCTTGTAGCAACCATAGTTTTTAAAAATGTATAATTTTTGTTAAAGTAGTAGCAACAGCAATGACTTATCGTTGTGAGTGCCAAATTTGAGGGGGGGGGACGTAAAAATTTAGTGCGCGGCGAGCATTTCCCTGAAATGGACTTCATCATGTGGACTAAATTTAATTTAGGAATGTTAAAATTGTTAAGATAAGGTTGGAAAATAATATCGACCTGCGCTTGCGATTATAAAAGAGTTTTCAAAACGGTTAGTTTTGCATCTTGGTATAACGATATAATATTCGCTTGTCTCGTAGGTTATATTGGCATTCGCTGATCATAGGCTGTAGTATATGGCATGCGTAAAGCGTATGGTCCGGGTCACAATTGTGCCAAATGTTTTATCGCACAGTGTTTCTCTGTTTCGCTAAGGTTATAAAGACCTGTTTTGGCAAAGATTATTATATATAAGCTGGTCCGGATGAATGATTTTTAATGCGCGCCGTTTAATTCTTTTAATGTCACCGCTTAAATAATGCACGGCGAGCATTTTCCTGAAATGGACTTTCATCATGTGGACTAAACTTAATTTAGGAATGTTAAAATTGTTAAGATAAGGTTGGAAAATAATATCGACCTGCGCTTACGATTATAAAAGAGTTTCTAAAACGGTTAGTTTTGCATCTTGGTATAACGATATAATATTCGCTTGTCTCGTAGGTTTTATTGGCATTCCCTGATCATAGGCTGTAGTGTGGCATGCGTAAAGCGTATAGTCCGGGTCACAATTGTGCCAAAGGTTTTATCGCACAGTGTTTCTCTGTTTCGTTAAGGTTATAAAGACCTGTTTTGGCAAAGTTTATTATATATAAGCTGGTCCGGATGAATGATTTTTAATGCGCGCCGTTTAATTCTTTTAATGTTACCGCTTAGATAATGCGCGGCGAGCATTTTCCTGAAATGGACTTTCATCATGTGGACTAAACTTAATTTAGGAATGTTAAAATTGTTAAGATAAGGTTGGAAAATAATATCGACCTGCGCTTACGATTATAAAAGAGTTTTCAAAACGGTTAGTTTTACATCTTGGTATAACGATATAATATTCGCTTGTCTCGTAGGTTTTATTGGCATTCGCTGATCATAGGCTGTAGTATGGCATGCGTAAAGCGTATAGTCCGGGTCACAATTGTGCCAAATGTTTTATCGCACAGTGTTTCTCTGTTTCGTTAAGGTTATAAAGACCTGTTTTGGCAAAGTTTATTATAAGCTGGTCCGGATGAATGATTTTTAATGCGCGCCGTTTAATTCTTTTAATGTCACCGCTTAGATAATGCACAGCGAGCATTATATTATTACACTGACCTGAAAGGTAAGTGTCTTAAATCCCTAGTTTTCTGTTTTCTTCTGTTTTTTTCGTCGTCGAGAAATCGAGTTTGCGTTCGCGCATCGCAGGCTCAGGGTGCAACGATTAATCCAAAATGCCATCGATTCTTCGACTCCACGATTCATATATAATAGTAAGAAGCTTGTATTTATGTACGTACTAACCTGCGCATGGCATGCTTGTGGTGCATTTTCCGTTTATTAGCCCATATATAGACTTCTATGGACTTATACGCACGCGCACAATTCCGAACTCCAATGGTGACATATTCAGTCCAGTTTCAAAATGGCACCTTTTGGCTGAGTGATCAGAATATATTTCACACAGATTCGTTGAATTTTCAAAGTGTTGTGCCGGTTTCCTATGGATTTTACGTCGTGTCGCACTCTGAACTTTCTTGCGTGTTGAATTAATATGTTTTTCTTCGTGTAACGACTCGAAAACCCCAAAATTTGGACCCAGCGAATTTTACAAAGGACAAGTTAAAGGTTCGACAGTTTGACTTTTTAACTAATCAACAGCTGTTTATAAATATACGTTGTAGAGTCATAAACATCCGTGATGTAGTTGTGTTCATTTTTTGTCGCACTCTGGACTTTCTTGCGTGTTGAATTAATGTTTTTCTTTTTGTATTAAACGACTCCAAAATTTGGCTTCCAAAATTTGGCCGACCCGGCGGATTTATACAATCAATATGTTGAATCAAACGACTCGAAAACCCCAAAATTTGGACCCGACGCGAATTTGTACAATGTAGTGGAATATAAGCAAGGACAAGTTAAAGGTTCGACAGTTTATTTTGATTTATTGTATGGTTCTCATTTGCCTAATACAATAACATTTAGTTCACAATACAATATAAACAAGGGCAAGTTAAAGGTTTGACCATATTAAAATACAATATGTATTGGGATTCGCGCAATAGCTACTAGAATTCGCGCAAGTAAAGATAAAGCGAGCGTTCAAAATACCAAAAAGAACTAAGACATTTATTGTATGGTTCTCATTTGCCTAATAGAATAACATTTAGTTCACAATATAATATAAACAAAATATAAACAAGGACAAGTTAAAGGTTTGACAGTTTCACTACATAATGTCGACAATATACCTTAATACATGTATTAAAATTCGCGCAGTAGCTACTAGTTGGTGCGCCAAACGCTTTGTGGTAGCTATACTAAAGATAAAGCGTGCCTTCAAAATACCTACAAGAATTAAGACATTTATTATATGTCTTATATGGTTCTCATTTGCCTAATACAATAACATTTAGCTCGACGCGAATTTTAACTAGTATCATATTTCATAACATAATGAACAATGTAAACTAGCCAATTCTTTTCACCTACGAAATGTCGACAATATACCTTAATACATGTATTAAAATTCGCGCAGTAGCTACTAGAGTGCGAGCAAGTAGTAAAGATAAAGCTTGCATTCAAAATACCAAGACATTTATTGCATGGTTCTCATTTGCCTAATACAATAACATTTAGTTCACAATATAATATAAACAAGGAAAAGTCGTTCGATTTGGCTATACTGTCAGTGCTCATTTTGAATGTATATTGATCGATTTCAATAATCGATTTACATATCAGTCTGCTCGATTCGAGTAAGTGTTGCCCGATTTGTATCATTGGTGATTTGGTGTTC